TCGGCGGGAGGGGTGGGGGGCGGCCCGAGGGGGTGGGAGAGGGTCCGGCCCACGCTGCGCCTGGGCTGGGACTGGTCCCGCCGGCGCAGGGTAGCAAGAAGCTCTCCACACACTCACGGGACCTGGGCTAGGACTGAGTCTCTAACAATTGCTTTAGGTATAACTATACTTTGTCTCTTGTTCAAAAATCCAGGGGTGGTGCCATGACTCGGCTGTGTCTTCCCCTTTATCTCCCATTCCTTGCCCTGTCCAGATCATATTAAATAGATCCTTTTTCCCACATACCCTTTGTATGTGTCTCTTCTTTTTTCAATTTTTTTTTCTTTCCTTATTGCCACTTCTTAGTGTCAGAAATCCTTAAAATTCATGGACAGTTGTCTTCGTTACCTTTCTCTCATTGCTGGGACAAAATACCTGACATCCAAAATCAAGGAAAAGTTTATTTAGCTCACACTTTGTGAGGGTGTTATGGTTTCTGTCTAGTTGTTCCCCCAAAGTCTCATGTAGTCATGGGGCGGCTTCTGGAGTTTGTGATTGTTGATTGTAGGTGTGAGTGTTACAGTTGGGCCCTGGGATGTAAGAAGTGGAGAGAGCATTACAATGTAAGAAGTGGAGAGAGGCTAGCTAGAAGCCAGCTGCTGCCCCTACCTTTGTTCTTTTTGCTCTTTGCTGCCTGCATGAAAGGCTTCTCTGTGCCATGTGCCACACTCTGCATTGGAGCCAGCCGAGTATGGACCGAAACCTCCACTAACTGTGAGCTAAATGAACTTTGCCTTCCTTCATTCTGGGTGTTGGTTATTTTTTCTTTTTCTTTTTTTGGCGGAACCTGGGATTGAACTCAGCCCCTTGCGTCTGCCAGGGAAGCACTTACTCCACTGAGCCATCTCCCCGGCCCTTGTTGGTTATTTTGTCCCAGCTACGAGACAAGAGTAACCAAGAGGGAGGTTTCAGTCCATAGTCAGCTGGCTCTAAGGCAGAGTGGCATATAGCAGAGGGCAGCAGAAAACAGCAAGAGCAAAAGGAAGAGCAGCAGCAGAGGGTGAGCCTCTTTCCCTCTCTTATATTATATGCAGGCTTCGTGCCCCAGGGTGGGTGCAGCACTCACCCCATAATCCCAGCATTGGACCATGGATCAAAAAAAACCCAAAACTCTAGAAGCCCCCCCAACCCATGATGGTTTGAGGCTTTAGGAGGACATCAAGACACAAACCATAGCAACAATTAAAACAATCTTCTGATGTATCTTATCTCCTGTCTGTATCTTTATGGTTCTTTCCTGTGATACCTGTAAAACATAAATCTTGGTGTAGCCACTCTGCTGAAAAGCTTCATTAGTTCTTTGCTATCTGAAAGAGAAAAAGAATGTCTAATATCAATCTTGGTTGAAGCCTTAAGTGTTGGTGTAGAATGAGAAAGAATAATGAAAAAGGCAAACCTCAGGTCCGCAACATAGAACAAGAGGCTTTGATAAGAAAGGTAGGAAAGGGCTGGGGAGATAGCTCTGTGATCTGAGTGCCTGCCTGGCAAGTGCAAAGCTGGGTGTGGGGGCACCAGCACTAGGGAGGCTGAAAAAGGATCACAGTGAGTCCTGAACTGCATATGGAGGCCCTGAACAAACAAATGATTAAAAAGAAAAGTAAGAAGAACTTACTCAAAACAATGGATATATAAATGCTTATGAGAGGAGGAGTCATCTGTGATACAAATGCTCTGAGGGTATCCAATGGAAGGAACAAAGAAATGCAGCGAACAGTGTCTACTTCCCTAGGCACTGTGGAGGTGCCTTCATGACGGCTGCTCTGTGACCAGTACAGCGATATAGAAAAGAGATTATGCAAAGGTGCAAAACGGTGAATGCTGAGTACAGTGTAAGCCCTAGGAACGGGGAAGACCACGTGATAAAGACGGGGAGAGTGCTTCCTGGGGTGGCACCACACTGAGTGGGAAAAGCAGGTGCTGAGGTGGAGAGTTTTGCTCCAAGAAGAAAAAACACACATGCTAAGGCCTCGGGATACCTAAGAGCATGGTTAGTGTGAGAACCAGGTACAGCTAGAGTTGACTGTCCAGGGCTGCTCTAGAATAAGGAACAGATGTTAGGAGGTGAGTTAGGGGAAAGCGAAAAAGATTCCATGAGCTATGTTAAGGGAATTAGAGTGGATTCTGAAGCCAGTCTGAGAAAATGGAAAGGTGGGAGGCCCCTGGAGTTATGGCCTTTACTGGACTTAAGTGGTGTTTGTGGGTATAGTAGAGTAGAGAGACTTGGAAGATTAAGAGGAAGAAATGGGGTACTATTAAACCTTCTTAAGAACATAAGCCATAAAGCAAGAGGACCTCTTCAAGTTTGAGGCCAGCTTCGGCTACATGGTGAACTCAAGGCCAGGCTGAAAGCATAGTGAGACCCTACATAAAAGAAAGGGTCTTTGTGTACTTACTCCCTTTTGTTTTCTGTCAAGATGAGTTTTTAAAAAAATATCTCCTTATAGTTTACGCACATAGGCGTTGTCTTCTCCTGAAAAATCCCAGAGAACAAATTTATTTTAAATTCCCCAAGTTGGGCCACCGAGATAGCTCAGCGGTCTAAAGCACCTGTTTAGGTAAGCTTAGGCAGGTGCAGGCTCCACAGTCTGATCCCCAGCACCACATGCCATGCCAGCCCTGCCCTGAAGGCAGGCTGAGCCAGCCAAAAACAGAAAAAGAGATTAAAAAAGATGAAAAAAAGAATCTGCCCGTGACCCTATCACAGAGTCAAGCCTGGGCTTCTGTTGTACTCTTTCACCTATGGCCCACTTAGCAGCCTCTAGCGGGTGGGAATACTACCTTTTGCTGTGCTCTGGCACTTTCTGCTGAGGGGCTCTCGTGCTCAGCCCCACTTCCCATGCCTGCCTGTGTGACTGTAAGCCCCTCGCCAAGCTCTTCTGTTGAAACATCTATCATTGTTAACTCCTGATATGAACATCATCTGCCCCTCCTCTAATACTTAGAACTTCCAGAAACTAAAACCATAACCTTTTTCTTATCTATCTCTCCTCATTGCTTAGCATAGTATCTGATACATGACAGATGTTCACTATATAATATTTAAAGCCCACAAAAAATCCAAGAACAACTGTTGATGTTCTCATGCAGCTGGAAGACTGTTGAGGTTGAGATTGGCTACTCTGTCTTTTTATATGCAAAGACAGCACTGACACACAGCCGGTTATTCTGAGGCAGGGAGGTTGGAATCTAGGCCCATGGGTTCCAGTTCATTGTTCTCTCCACTGCATTCATTCTTCTGTAGGAAACCACAGGAGGATGGTTCATTTTTCTTGCTATTGAAAGATTTTTTTAAATGTTTCTCTCAGTTTCTCACTTTACCTTTTATATTTGAAATCATTGACTTTACATTGGCTAGAGTTTGGGGTCACTTACCCATTTCAGTGGGATTTCTGATGTAAGTTTAAGAATCCCTCATAATGTACTCTTAAGATGTTTGCAAATTCTTTCC